TTCCCAGATGTACTACAAAGCTGCAGTAATCAAAATATTATAGTACTGGCACAAAAATAGACACATAGATCAATGGAACAGAAAAGAATCCAGAAATAAACCTATGTTTATGTGGTCAATTAATCTATAACAAAGGAGACAATGAGGAAAAGACCATCTTCTTAATCAGTGGGGCCAGGAAAACTAGTTAGCTGCAGCCAAAAGAATGAACTAGACCACTTTTTTACACCATACAGAAAAATAAACTCAAAATAAAGACCTAAATGTGAGATATGAAACCATAAAACGCTTAGAAGAAAACATAGGCTGTAATATTTTTTATATCAGCCTTAGCAACATAGATAGATAGATAGATAGATAGATAGATAGCTAGATAGATAGATAGATAGATATCTCCTCAGGCAAAGGAAACAAAAGCAAAAGGGACCTATTGGAACTACACCAAAATAAAAAGCTTCCTTACAGCAAAGCAAACCATCAACAAAATAAAAAAGCAGCCCACTGAATGGGAGAAGATATTAGCAAATGAGATATCTGATAAGGGATTAATATCTAAAGTACATATAGAACTTATGCAACTCAATACACACACACACACACACACACACACACACACACACACACAATCTGATTAAATGATAGGCAGAGGACCTGAACATTTTCTCCAAAGAAGACCTACAAATGGCCAACAGACACATGAAAAGATGTTCAATATCACTAATAAAGGAAATGTAAATCAAAACCACAATGATATATCACCTTATACCTGTAAGAATGGCTAGAATCAGAAAGAAATAACAAGTATTGGCAAGAAGGTAGAGAAAAAAGAACCCTTTGCACTGTTGGTAGGAATGAATATAAATTAGTACAGCCACTGTAGTAGACAGTTTAAATGTTCCTCAAATAATTTTAAAAAATATATGATCCATTAATCCCACTACTGTTTATCACAAGAAAAAGCAAAATGCTCATTAGAAAAGATATATGCATTAGAAAATATATGTGTTTATTGCAGCATTTTTTACAATGGCCAATGTATACAGCAACCTAAGTGAGGGCGCCTGGGTGGCTCATTGGTTGAGCGTCCGACTTAAGATCAGGTCATGATCTCACAGTCCATGGGTTTGAGCCCCACGTCAGCTCTGTGCTGACAGCTTGGAGCCTGGAGCCTGCTTCAGATTCTGTGTCTCCCTCTCTCTGTGTCTTTCTGCTTGTCCCCTGTCACACTCTGTCTCTCTTGCTCTCAAAAATAAATATTTTTTTTAAATGTTAAAAGAAGCATTTGATAGATGAATGGATAAAGAAGATGTGGAAGAGATGGATGTATATGTGTGTGTGCATATATATATATATATATGCTTGCCACTTTTGACAACATAGATGGATCTAGAGTATTTTATGATAAGTAAAATAAGTCAGAGAAAGACAAATACCATATGATTTTACTTATTTGTTTAATCAAGAAAGAAAGAAAGAAAGAAAGAAAGAAAGAAAGAAAGAAAGAAAG